TCGTCTCCGAAGTACACCTACTAGGACTGTGTTAGATACTTGATTTAGGGGGAGATCCATGGATGAATTAATGGCAGTTGAATGGTTTGGGTCGGTCTTTTAGAGTAGAAGTCGGCTGTTTGCTTTTGAGTCATAGTCTGTTATGTCATTTGAAGTCTTGTTTGGTTGATTTGAGATTAAATCTTGCTGAGTATTGGTGTTGAATGTGCTTTGATGATTTTGCTTATGAATAAAATGGACTCCCTGTTGTCTTTTTAATCACGTGTCAGTCATTAGTAGTTGGACAGGCTACACCAACAGTTTGTTTAAGTGTGCAGAACATTGAAGCAGCTTAATATGAACGTTGGACAAGTTTAGGGGGAGAAGCTTGGCCATTAACAAGCTGAGGGGGAGAATGTTGACAGGAGCAGCTTGAAGGCCAAGACAAAGAATCAAATCACAGCTGGAAATAAGGTGGCTGCCCAAAAACAGTTAAGGCAAGTTTTCGGGTCAAAAGAAGAAAGAATAAGAACTTGCCATACTTGAAGATTTCAAAGGAATTCAAATTCTCAACAGCCACATTGCAGCCTATAAAAAGGCGATTTGAAGGAAGTGCATGGCAACCTTTCAAGAGATCAAAAACTAGCTAAGTCAAAAAGGGATTTTGTGAGAATAGCTAGAGTGATAGGAAAGGGGTTTCTCAAAGGGTTCGGGGAGAATCGCTTTGAGGGTTAGTGTTGGGGAAACACTGGTTTCGAGTTGCTGGGGAAGCAATTCGGGTTTGAGAAAAGAGAGTTAGATCAATCGGGTAGAGATTGATCAAAGGGCTCTTGGTAGATTGCTTGTAACGAAGAACTTCAAAGCCATATCATAGTGAATCGTCAGAGATCACTCGATCGTGATTCTCTGACCGTGAAGTAGTCAGTATTGGGATCCTCATTCTCCCAATACTGGAAACCACGTAAAAATCGTGTGTTTGGTTTGTTTTCTGTTTTTCTATTTCCAGTTTGTGTGTGCTTCTGTTTGTATTCTGTTCTTGGGTGAAATTGCAGGGGAACTCAGCTCAAGAGTCGCCCAGAAAGACGACGTGCGTGGACAGAAACAAGGATCTCACTGATCCCGGGTTGGAGTATATTGATTTCATTTTTGTCTGGGTTATTATTGTTGTGGTATTGGAGTTCTTTCTCTGTTCTTTATTCAAAGGGAAGCAGGTCCCTTTTTGATCGACAATCTCTGGAGCGGGAAGGAAGTTTTGGTTTTAGTTTATACTCGGTCGTTTTGGAATTAAAACACAGCCGTTCCATTTGTGTCACTTAGAGACTGGGTCGGGTTAAGAAACTGACTGGGCTGGGCTTACAGGTTGATTCATTTAATCCGACTGAATTGAACTATTGGGCTTGGAATCTCAGTTGGATTAAACACAGGGTTTTAACTAAGTGGGCCTTAACATCAATAGCCTAAGTAAAGTGTTATTTAAACAATAATCTAAGTTTGGGTGGTTTGATTAGTATTTCGGTCCACTTTAGACTCACTTGCCTGTTAGCTGGTTTTTCTTTTATTGTGTCTTCCAATTGGTTAAAATATTATAATTGTGCTTATCTGTGGTCAAGTTATTTGAAAGACAGGTATAGAGTCTCGCGCTCGACGCAACCAACAGAAGCCCTTTTGGGAAATTGCCAAGACACAAAAAACCTAGATCAGCAGACCTTACAGGAAAAACTAATTATAGTAAAAAGCAAAAGTAATCCCCACTTTTAACTTCTAAACTGAATGAGGAGGTCATCCGCAAAGCATAAGTGAGTCAACTCAATACTTTTCCATTGAGGATGATAAGGCAGAATCCCTTGTTTGGCTGCAAGGTCAAGTATGTCAGAAAGTGGTTCTAATGCTATAGCAAAGAGGTAAGGAGACAGTGGATCTCCTTGCCTTACCCCCTAATACTTGCAACAAAGTTTCCAAACAAAGAACCATGGACTCTAATACTGAAGTGGGCTGTACTAAGACAAGTTCTAATCCATGCAAGAAATTTCGAAGGATGAGTCATGACTGGTTTTTGCTTATGACACTGGGGCGAACAAGTTTAATTCGGTTTGCTATGACCTTTGATATGATCTTATACAATATGTTAATGCAAGCTATAGGTTGATAGCTGGTTAGCCTATCAGCATTAAGGGTCTTAGGCGCAAGGGTGAGAGAGGTAACATTGATACTTGGTAGGAGCTGACAAGTTAGGAAAAACTCTTTGATGCTTGCTGTGATTTCGGTCCCAATCAGTCCCCATTTCTTTTGAAAGAAACTAGTAGACCAGCCATCTAGGCCTGGAGCTTTTTGCGGATTCATTGAGAAGAGAGCTTCACTTACTTCAAAATCTGCAACATCCTTACTGAGTATTTTACAATCATCCTCACTACTAGCACAAAACCTGGCCTGTTGCCCGGGAGAGTTCGATAGTTACATAATTTGTATGTGTCATTCACAACGATGATGGGTGTTTTGTTTGATATTGTGTCATCTACTATTTAGACAAATACGCAAACTACTCCCAGTATGCTTAGCTTATATTGAAAACATGAGACAAGTAAAATGACTAACAAAGAAATGCAACTAGCATGGACATATATGTTAACAAACAAAATGTTGTATATATAAACAGTCCATAAATGACTATACGAGAGTTACTTCCTATGATAAATACATCATCAATTTTCACCATAAAAGAAAATGATTTTCCTTTGATGGAGTTTAATGTACCATTAATTGTTTTTTTCCAATCTTTGTCTTCTTTGTTGATCGTGCCATGAATTATATATTGAAATTATAATATTTGAATGACAAATGGCATTTTGGAGATTTGTCGCCAATACTTAAATGGAAAAATGTATTGATTTCTATATGGTGTTCAAGAGACATATCTTAAATATGATCAACAACAATGGAGTGATTCTCCTATAGCTCTCAGCCTCTCACCATCACAGTGATCTTAATGAATAACTAGGTTCATCTTCACTCAATTACTTGTCGTGGCCCTACAAATTGATTAACATGTCCAAAAATGGTGAAATTAACCAGTACATCAACTCATTCTCTTTCCATGACTGTCGAGTATAATCATGCCTGATTATTAGGAGTTTTGAAATTTAGAGATTAACGGAACTAAAAAATTTAGAGAATCGTCGTTTATAGTTTGCACAAAATATCGTTGCTTCATGATAGTTTTAAGAAGTTATAGTAAGTTGACAATTTACATTGTTTATACATATTTAATAATGCTATTTGATATGCTATATTTGAATAAAATAATATTTGTACTGTGATTTATCCACCATTTAAAAGATAGAGATAAATTAATTTAATTTAATTCAAATAATTTAATTCAATTTACATTGTTTATACATTTTTTCGGGACGAAGGCGGGACCAAACCGCGTGCCTTCGTCTCAAAAAAGTCGTTTGCTACCCCGAACGAGCCTTTTTCGATTTCGAAAAACTTTAAACGATCATAAATTTGTGCTCCGCAATCCGAAAAATATGAATTTTTTTTATTTCACATATCTTTTTAAGGACTACAATCTTTAGTAGGAAAGAATTTTCAAAAAATTAATTATTTATGGATATACGGGGTTTTGGGAATAACTTTACCTTCCTTTTTCAGGAATCCAAGTACATTCCGAAATTATGTCTATGATAAAAATTGCAGTCCTTAAAAAGTTATGTGAAATCAAAAAAAATTTCATGACTTTCGGATTGTGGAGCACAAAGTTATGGTTGTTCAAAGTTTGACGAAATCGAAAAAGGCTCGTTCGGGGTAGCAAACGACGTTTTTTCGGGACGAAAGCGGGACCAAACCGCCAACTGCCATTTTTGGCTTGTAAGATCATGAAATTTTATGCGGAATAAATTTTTTTTTCACTACGATCGGATAACCGAGCACAAAGTTACGTTTGTTTAAAGTTTTGACGCAGGCCAAGCCTTTACCGCGGCCGGATAACGCGGTGAAGCAATCACCGCCTTTCTCTACAACGATGATGCATTGACTGCTCTTCTATCCTGCGGTGATGCAATCACCGCCTTTCTCTGCCACGGTGAAGACCCAAACATGCATAGATTGTGAATTTTTTTCATAACGAGTGTATTTTGAGAATTTTTTTTAAAAACATGTGTTTTTTGAGATTTTTTCCATCAAATACAAACTCTTTGGAAATAATAACTAAACACTAAACTCGTATAGACTACCCCTACGCATACTCAATCTCAACCCTCAAGCTAACACTCTTAACTTGTCAATCATATGCCCAAATTAACATCCTAACCCCTAAACTTCTACTTTATACACATTTTACACCTAATATCGGTGACGATTAGGGCTGTCAATTTGGTTTGGTTTGGTTAACCAAACCATTAAGTATGAAAAACCAAAAACCAAAACCAAAACCATTAAGATCCTTATTGGTTATTGGTTACCAATAACCAATAAGGACCTTAATGGTTTTGGTTTTGGATAACCAAAAAACCAACATGTACTCATACACTCATATTTATTTCTATTTCCCTTCTTTTTATTGAATAAATGTCATAATAATGGTAAATGATAAAATGACCATTATAAATTATTGGTTGGCATGCATATCTAAAGAAACAATAATAAAAAATTCATGATAAATAATTTTATTATTATTATTTGTACATTCTTATAAAAAATAGTATATATATGGTTCACAATGAATCAAGGAAACATGTTATTGTTTTTCTTATTTTAAATGGATGCCATGGATTGAACAGAAACCCTTTTGAGAGTCTCTTTCAGGTCTGTGTCTTTGATACGAGTTAGGAAGGAAGGAAGTTAGTCTTAGCCATGGTTTTGGGGCTCGTATTTATGTCCCCTGTTGGTTGCTTTTATATAAGTTGTCACCTAATAACATTATACTACAAATGCTCTTACCAACATTTTATCCTTCCAGTAATACATTTAAGACTAATAACATCCACAATGTCAACTTTGGGTAACAATATTAAAAATCAACATCACTCCACCTTATTGGACTCTATATCCACACAAGTCTCATCATTCCCATCAGAATCCTCATCAAAATAAACTTCTTCGACTTGTGACCCAGTAGGACTCGAGATCGGAACATGAGCAGAATGTGAGCTTCCACTAGGTTCTGCAGGTGCACTTGCACTTCGAGTTTGAAAAGCTGCAAATACTAGATAACATAAACAATAACTTGTTAGAATATGATTTCAATACAATAACAAATATAAGAATAAACATAAGTTCTTACCATTCTGAAATACAACTTCATCACACTCATCTTCTCCATCAGCCACCAACTCAGAGTTAGAAGATCTTATCCAATCTTCACAGCAAATCAAAGCCTCCACAACTTCAGGGGATAAGGAGGTCCTAAACGAATCTAAAACTCGACCTCCTGTACTGAATGCCGACTCAGAAGCAACCGTGGAAATAGGAACAGCGAGAATATCCCTAGCCATCTCAGAAATAATAGGATATTTCATCCCACTTCGCGACCACCATCCCAAGATGTCAAACTTATACTCATCCTCTTCAGAACCCACCATTGCTCGTGTAACCTCCTCATCATCCTCCTCCTCCTCAAGGTACCTATCAAACTCAGATTTGGAACTTTTTCTAGTTCCTCTCCGAATGGCCTCTCTTTTCTTTTTCCTGAAATCATCCCAAAACTTTCCTTTCTTCTTCCCATCCCCACTTCCACTAGGTTCTTGCTCACCTTCTTGAATCACAATAGGAGAACTACTATGAAGTCCGATCCTATGCTTGTAATGGTCAAACAGAGCACGCATTTCATCTTTCACCTCATCGGCCAAAGCTTTCCCCCTACTTTCACCATATACCTTCTTCAAAGCTTCTTCAAGATATTCCATTTTGCGCCTTGGATCTAATATGACTGCCATATAGCACAACCGATTGATCTTGGAATTCTCCCACTCTTCTTCAAACCAATACTTGGCAAGTTTGGACTTGATTCTCTCAGCCATGCAACCCACCTCAAAATCAATACTATCAACCCACTCAGAAATCGTAGTATACATTTCACATATTTCATCAAATAAGAGGTGTAAAGTTACATATGAAGTCCCAGAAACTCGAACAGTCACATCATAGAAGAGCTTCAAGTAACTAATCAACCGTCCGACACTTGACCAATCATCAGAAGTTGGGATACCAAGACTTTGATTTCCATATTTTTTTTTCATTGAGATGTTTCTTGAAATTCTTCTCATTTCTGGCTAATGTCTGAAATGCTTTCTCAAATGGCTTTGCAGATTCCAACATCAGATACGTTGAGTTCCACCTTGTAGCTATATCCAACGAAACAAATTTCTTCGACACTATCTTTTCAAACTCAATGCAATCTTTGAATTTTCTGCTCCTAGTTGGTGTAGATTTAACCCACTTCACAGACTCTCTCACTCGCTCAACAGATATACTAGTTTCTTTAAGCCCATCCTTCACAGCTAAATTAATAATGTGAGCCACACACCTCATCTGCAGATACTTTCCATCCACAATATCTGATCCCCACTCTTTCAACTGTTGCCTCATATGGATAGCAACCACATCATTAACACTAGCATTATCCATTGTGATACAAAAGACCTTCCTAATGCCCCAGTCCACCAAACAACTAGCCAACTGTTTTCCAATTTCATTTCCAGAATGTTTTGTGATAATGGTATCTCACTGTTCCTGCCAATATCAAAAGTGAATTTGTATCAAAATCAACTACATAATCACTTGGCCAATTTGTATCAAAGTATATCACCACTAGATGAAATAACTTTACGTTTCTCATTGCTAAAGAAAATTTACATTTTTTTCCTTCCTATTGCTTGTTTTGGCTCGTTAGAGTTTCCTTTTGGTCAAAGGAAACCAAAGACAACAACAGAAAGGGACAAAAGAGTACTGATACAACAAAGAGACTTGCTGCTGCAATGCCTCTTTACTCTATACAGAATACACCACGTTTAAACCGAAACCCAGAAAGTTTAAAAAGCTACACCAAACTAAATAGTCATCTCCTTCTACTGACTGACATTGCTGCTGAAACTGGTGGTTTGCGGACTCGAACAAAGATTCCATTTCATCAACATTCATCACCTTCTAAAAGCCAAATTTCGAGCTCCCCACGGCTGCAGTGATCCCTGCCCTGAAGCCAAAAATCAATTGGGTGGCAGCTTTAGGCGAGCTATTTGGTCATTACGTAGAGGCGGGAAAATCATGGTATGCTGGAGCTTCAAGAAGAGAAAAGATCCAAGGAGACTCATGATAGAAGCCTTCCCGTAGATTCACAACTGAACTCAATAGTGATTCACCATCTCAAGTTTCCTGGTCAGCAGTAGAACGTATTTTGAATATATTGCTCACTAAGTGGGAAGCAACCCAGAAAGTCCCAAAAAGAGAGAAAAGTTCTACTCCTCAATATGCACACTTGCTTATCAAAGCTACCTATCAATCTAATGGCTGGGCATTGTCAACAGCAATCAGAAGGGAGAAGGGACAATCTAGACACTCTTTTTACAATGGAATTAGTCTAATTTCAGAAAGCCCAGTTGACAAACTTCACTGATCACCCAAATTCAAAGCTCCCTGAAGTGGGTTTCCTACTTTAGTGGCGAGAATCTGTTTTCTGTTCTATCCACGAGCGGAGCAGAAACGAAACCCAAATATGGTAGAAACGAAACCCAAATACAAAAATCAACAAATCGAATAGGGGAAAACAGATGCAAGCAAGCTATGTGAGGAATGATATGCTGTCAGGGGTCTCATGCTGAAGTGCTGGAGCAAGAAATTCTGAAATTGAGGAATGATATGCTGAAGGTTGGTTCCAGTTATGATTCACATGAACACATGCGTAAAGTAACATAAGTTCCAGCACCTGCATTTTGATGCTTGTTTCTGTTTCCAATTCCCAGTACGAGTTAGAAAGGGAGAAGCTTGCAACGCAGCTCGAAGAGGAGAGGAAGTCACAAAAGGAGATGCAGGGCAGGAATGGAAGGGAAGGCAACTTTCTCAAAGTTATAGAACAAAGGATGAAACCCATAATCCATGCTCTCATCATGTAAGAGCCGAGCCAGTAGAAGGATTATCAATACACGAAAGAAACAGAACAACAACAGGCAGAGCCAACAAAAACTAGCATCCAGATTCAAGAGTTCCATTGGACTTTCTGTAATTGCACGTTCTCAATTGATCTTGGCAATAAAACCAGAATTACAGTATAAGATTTGTATGACAATGTGAGAGCCAAGAAAGTCAGCATCAACTTAAAACTCACAACCCTAATAGTGCGCTTTCAAAAGATGCACAAAGAAAAACTCTCTACCCCTTCTACTTCCAAACAAATGCAAGCAAGCTATGTGAGGGACTCAATGAGATTCCATTGAACAAAGGCGGCAAGTTCAGAACATAATATGGAGTAGACGAAAAGAAGCTGAAGAGAGGGACTCACTGAGATTCCATTGAACAAAGGCGGCAAGTTCAGAACAGAATATGGAGCCGACGACCCAGTTCTCTCCAATCGACACCGAATCAGCGGCCACAGAGCAGCAACTCAGGTTTCCGCCTTTGCCAAAGATAGCCGGCTTCAGAGCAACGAGAAGAAGAGAGGTGCCTCGAAAGGGTTCTAGGGATTTCGAAACGAAGCTGAAGCTGAAGAGAGGTGCCGCGAAGAAGAGAGGTGCCTCGAAAGGGTTCAGAGCAACGAAATGAAGCTGAAGAGAGGTGCCTCGTGCGCCGGCGAGAGCATTTTGTTCGATAGGGGTTTAGGGATTTCAAAAGGGTTAGTTCTAGGGATTCAGAGCAACGAAAAGAAAGAGTTGCGGCTGTTGCGCTGCGTTTCGTTCATATTGGTTTCTTATTGGTTTTCTGGTTTTAACCGAATAAAAACCATTAAGTTTCTAAATGGTTTAAACCGAAAAACCAAAACCATCAGCTTTCTAATTGGTTTGGTTTTGGTTAAAACCAAAAAACCAAAACCAAATGGACAGCCCTAGTGACGATGGTTGTGGCGGGAAATTAAGAAGACTACATATTACTTTTTTACCCCAAATTCGCTCACTCAATTGTGAAAACGTGAAAGTTGACTGCTATATAATCAAACCTAATGAAGTTGACCACAATGAACAATTGTGAAACAAATTGATATGAATTGAACCATTGCACATCTCAATAAGTAGCACCATGAAATCAAACCACTCAAAAACCTTCAAAACACAAAAATTTGTATAATATTGTTTTTTTAAGCAATATTTTGTTTTATAAAGCATATGTTTGGCCCGACTTTAAGAAGTTCTTTTCGACTTCAAAAGCTGACGCAGGGTCAAACACCTCTAAAAGCTCGGCTTTTGAAAAGTCGAAAAGCGCTTTTGTATAACATAGAAGCAGAAGCTCCGATTTGGAGCTTCTGTGAAAAGCTGTTTTGAAAATACAAGATTATCCTTACCATATTTTAATTTTATTTCAGAAAATATAATTTTCCTTCATTTATATCACTTAAAAAAAATTATAAAATTCTATTATTTAATATAAAAGAAATCTAACAAGATCCATTTTTACAACTTTATATTGTTCAAAATTTGTATTCATATTTTATATTATAAGTCCTTTATAGTCATTTTACACAACTGTTCATATTAAAAAGCACTTCTAATAGTTTTACAACCAAATACAAAACTGCTTTTTTGAAAAGTACTTATCAAAAAACTCTAGCCAGAAGCTGCTTCTGCAAAAGCTACAGCAGGGCCAAACTAAACAGAGTGCCAGTTGAATAAAGCAAAAATTTTTTTTACCAACGATTCAAATAATTTCATCACTTATGAAAGCAAGACTGATTCGACTAAAAAATCAGGAGCCAGAACTTGTTTCGGCCCCAATTGTGCTTAATTAATGAACCAAATGCTCCTACGCCCAACCCAACAATTAACGAACCGAAAAATCAGCCTGGAATTTCCGGCCCAAAATTTTGTAGGGATAATTACTATTCTAGTCCTGGCGAAATTTTTTTTTTTTGGTGAAAAGTCCTGGCGAAAATTAATGAGGCGTCAGCAATTTTAAAATGCTCAAAATTTGACAAAAGTCTCTTCTATCTACTAGATAGTACCCCGACCTGTTGGCCGGTTGAAATACGATAACATTAATTAACAAAGTTTAAAATTTAAATTTCAGTGATTTCATCCTCTTATATATATTCATGTCACAATTATATGTCAATACCATATAAATCAATAAACAATTATATATTTTTTATCAAATAGCTAGACAACTTCTTAGTTTTTACCATCAATAAAGTTAAATATTTAATTGTTTGGAAAAGAGAAAATTAGCATCCATCATAAAATATTACTATGTATTATGTACAAATTCTTGTTGAAATTAAATAAATATGACTTACGCAAGGGTATATCAACTCATAATAAACTTAATGAGACAATATTGTAGATATTCCAAAATAGCCAGTATCAATATCTCTTTACTATCATGAATATTTATCATCAAATTCACTATCTTAATTATCAACATACATTTTTTTAGAAGTAAATTCAAAAAATATAACTTAATCATATATGAAATATCATTTTCATGGCCAAACAGTGTGCCTCATCCCAATCACAAAATTTTGTTGGAGATTATTTTTTGCCATCATTGATAATCTTCAGAAATAGTAATTTAGTTTTGAAATTTGCAAGGATTGAAATATTATACTGGAGGTTGTATCGAAAAAAGTCAGCGGTAAGATATTTTAAGCTAAAACCGTGGTTTAACCGTTTCATACGGCTAAATATTGTCTACCGGTTTAGCTTTCGGGAGAAGGTTTATATGTCGAACCACTGGTATGATACGGTTTTTCAAACCTTGGAATACGTTAATCACTAAACTTAATACGAACTTCAACTGCATTATTTTTTTGGTAAATACTCCATACCTTCATTTCATAATGTCACCTTTGAGTGAAATTCAATCACTTCATGAATATCAAAATTAGGTAACATCAAGGTAGCTCTAATTTACTTTTTAGAAAGTAGCTTTAATTAAAGAGAATAGTTTTTTCACCGACATACACTTATAATTTTCTCGAGAAAAAAGTAATGATTGCAGTAATGGATTAGAAATTAAAGTTTAGACCAATATTTTTTTAGCACACGCTAACATATTCATTTACCTTTGAATAAAAATAGACCATCTTCTTGAATTGTTAAGTTAAAAACCATATGGAACTTCTATTTTATACGACATAACTGAATGCATGTCGAGGGATCCAAAAATAGTTAGTAAAAATTTGATTAAAATCCATCTAATACATATATTCTACTAAATGTGTTTAAAATTTTCATTTACGTACTATTATAAAGTTGTCTCCTTATTTTATGTTTGTTCAATACTTCAAGTATTAAACACGTATAACACATTTACTACATGTATTTTTAGGAATTAGATTGATAATTTGTTAATTTAAATTATAATTTATTTGTAATTTATAAATTTATAAATTTTCATTATTAATACCAAACTTTTAGCGACACACCAATAATGTATTTTATTAGGAAAGCGCCAAACTTATGAGAATTCATTAATAAAACCATGACTATCATGTATAAATACAATGCTAGCCAATGGGGGGTTATGGGAACTTTCTTTTTTATGGAAGGGGGTTAAGATCATGAAAGAATTATATTGATGAATCAATTACAGTGGGACACCGGAAAAAAAAGCCAAGTGATATGACCACAGTCTACAAAAGTTAACCAAGCCCGTCAAGGCGTCTTAGAAGACTCGATTGATGGTTCGGTGTTACGAGAGTGTCTTCAGATCCTTAGCTCTTTGTCTGTTTGTATAGAGTTTAGGACGGTACCTAGATCCGCCAACAATGCTGCCCATAGAGTGGCGCGTAAAGCACTGCTTTTGTCTCGTGTAGAGCTAGAATCTTTTGATTTTTTGGGTGGCTTCTTTAGAGTCTTTTAGAGAATACTGGATAGAATTGTAAGCTTAACTATTATTTTCCATTGATATCCCTCAGAAATAAAATAAAAAATCTACAAAAGTTAATCACCGAGAATTAAGAGGGAAAAGACATGGAAGTCCAGGAAATACTCAAGTAAGTAGGTGCTAAGTAAGAAGCTTCATATATGTATTGTAGGAATAGGAGGAGGATAGGATAGGATAGGATAGGATAGGATAGCTAAAACCGGGAAAAGTTGAAAAACCGGAGAACTTATCCTTCCAGCAAGACCGTGGACTCCTGCCCTGCCCGGTCTCAGCTTTGCGCCTCTAGTCAAAGTTGTCTGCAACTTCTTCGCCCCTTTCCTTTCTTCCGTTCAATTTTGACTCATCCCAGACACCAAGCAAGCAGCCAGGCTAAAGAACAGCTAGCGAACCGAGATCCATATCCAAATTCGCCATCAGTTTCTTCAAGAATTCCCGTCTCCTTCAACTGCAGGTGTGTACTTTTCCCCCGCCTGTGAAAGATTCCGTTTCGTTGTTGCGACAGCTTACAATCAACGGTTTGCGGGCACACTATTTCACATCTTTGATTTGAGAAAAATGGAATCCATTCTCGCTTCTTCTTCTTCTTCTTCTTCTGTGCTGTCGTCTGCTCTTCCACCCGGGGAGTACGAGGTTTTCCTGAGCTTCAGGGGCCCCGATGTTCGCAACACGTTTGCCGATCATCTCTACACCTCTCTACACCGTTCCAGAATCCGCACATTCAGGGACGAGGAAGAGCTACGCAAGGGGGAAGGGATTGCACCTTCCCTAGTCCAGGCCATCCCCAATTCCAAGATCTACGTCCCAATTTTAACCAAACAGTACGCTTCCAGCAAATGGTGCCTTCAAGAATTGGCTCAAATGGTGGGGTGCTGGAAGCAAAAGAAGGGGCACCTCATCCTTCCCATTTTCTATTTTGTCGACCCTAGAGATGTGAGGCATCAACATGGCTCTTCTTATCAGGAAGCCTTTGAACAGCATGCCCGGAAACATAGCCCCGAAACTGTGAACGAATGGAAGGAAGCACTTCGAGAGGTTGGGCAAATGAAAGGATGGCATGTCACTGAATCCGACAGGTAATCAT